TCCATGTCCTTGAGGAAGATTCATTCAATTTTGCTCATCTATCGATGCAAGCATCGTGAGGCAAGCCCAGGGGTTGGAGACTTACCTGTTCGGCGATGCGTATCTTAAGCTAGTTTGGCCCCTGCGCCCAACGCTACGGGCAAAAAAAAAAAAACCGCAGTTGCACTCACGCACCGCACCGCACTCTCGCACTCACGCACCGCACCGCACCGCACTCCTGCACTCGCTCGCTTCGGTTTTCGCTGCCCACCCACATCGGCTCGGCCCTCCGCCCCTTGCCCGCTTCACTTTTCCCTGCCGTCTACTTTCCCCGCCCGTCTCTGCGTGGGCCTCGGCCCTGGGCCGGTTCCCCCGCGTCGGCTCGGCCCTCCGCCCCTTGCCCGCTTTGCTTTTCCCTGCCCCCTGCGACGGTCGACACCTCCTCCCGACCGCGGTGTCCCAAGCGGTTTCCGTTCGGCCTGCGACCGACCATGTCGCCAGACCCTTTGCTTGCTTTAGTATGTATAGAGATGTACGCATGCAATGCCATCTTTATGCGTAGTGCTTTCGCCAACAATCTTTTGCCTGCTCTTCCAACCTCCTTCTCCGCGCCATTAGTGGCAACTTGCAAGCTATAACTGTTTTCTTCTCCCTTTCTTCACACTTTTTCTCTCTCCTTACTTTTGTTGAATCTTGGTCTTGCTTCGCTCTGTCTCTCATAACCTCCTCTCCCACATTCGTTTACACACTACAAAGCCCCGTCGATCCCCAAACTACTCGTAAAAGTTGGATGGCAACGTGTAAGGAGGTTGTGAACTCCTCACGTTGCAATTCGATTGGCTATGAAGTACTTTACGTGGATCAGCATGGCCTTTCCGAGTGTTTCCCCCTTTCTTATCCCCTCTTTCCTTCATCCTCTCTCCGTATCCTTTCTCCTTCTTCTTCACAACTATAAATCTCACAAGCTTGTCGTTTTTGGTCTCTCACAATACATCGCCCAACTCTGGTGGAGTAGTGGCTAGATAAGGTAATAATCAGCGTTTCGAAAAGTCCTGACGAGCCGGCTGCAAATTTGCCAGATTGCACGCTGGATCGCTGTGACGGGCGACAGAATCCGGGCGAATCTGCGTAGTAGTTGAGTTAACGGGGTGACGATCGTTTGGTTTTAGAGTTGGGTACGTCACGTCTAGGAATGCCAATGCTCGAGCCAAGAAATGAGCGTTGCTGATTGATCGGGTGGCCTGGGGCCAAAGTTCGAGAGCAAAGGGTGTTGAATGTTATTTCCTTATTCTTCTTTTTGCCATTCTTGAAGTCAAGTTGTCTGGCGGGATGCTAGTTTTTCCTCTCATAATTGTGCGAGTGTATACTTCTCTCCGACCCTCATATTTCTCTATGGATGTATGATTCACAAGTGGTTAATGATTGCTTGAGTTGCTTTGTGCTGATAATCTATGTATGGTAGACTGGTAGTCGGTTGTAAAGTGCGCCCCTCATCTAGCTCTTACGCTGTCAAGATCTCATTGGGCGACGATCGATGAAATGTCAGGGCCGACGAGGGTTTTGTGATGAAATGCATGTCCCTCTCTTCAAGTTCTCTTCCCCTCTCTATGATCTAAATGCATTTGAAACTTCGTTTTTGCACTTCAGTTGCGCCCCGAGTTCCAAATGCAGTTGAAACTGCGGCTAGCACAATGGACGCAAAAACAAGTTTTCAAATCAGACTTGCAGCCCAGGCACTGACCGATGCCACCATACAGCCCCGTACACAGGCACCGGCCCAGCCACAGAGCGTCCAGGAACCGGCACATGAACGGGAGTGCGCAGGAACCCACACATGAATGGGAGTGCCAGGCCACGGTGTTTCGAATCTGGAGTGCCAGGCCATGTGAGTACCCATCACTCTCTCTTTCTCTCTCTCTCTCTCTCTCTCTCTCTCTCTCTCTCTCTCTCTCTCTCTCTCTCTCTCTCTCTCTCTCTCTCTCTTT